GGTGAAACAACGATGAATGATGAAAATGATAACAAGAGAAGTTTATAGTTCTTAGATACCAAATGCCCTTTTAATACTGGAGGTAAGTTACGCACACACAAATTGTATTTAGAAAACGTTCAAGTTTACTGAAGCTAATTACCTTAGATTATTGTACACGTAGAAAAAAGTGTCATCATTATATAGTATATGCGGTAGAAAAATAATGTTTTCTTATGCGGAAATGCCTTAGTAGAATTAGTGAAAAAGCAATGTGTTATTTTGTTTGCATCTGTGAACATACTAAATTAATTAAATTATATCTTTCATTAATGAGAGGTATGTATATAACCGAAACTTCATAATTAAATAAAAGTCTTTTGGATTGTTTATCTAAACTTAATATCTTACGATTGATAACGTTAGAAAGTGCACAATAAAATTTCACTCTCGATTTCACTGTACCTCTCTAAGAATAATAAGATAATTCTGAAAAAGAACGATTTTGATACGTAAATTTGTTTCTTAGAAGTTTTATATCCTCCAAAGAGAAAAATCAGTAGATATACTTAAACACGACTAATTAAAAGAATAATTAACGCTAGGCTTTGCATTGCAATAAAAAAGTTTTTACAGTAAAGAAATAAAACTCATATATACAAAAGTCAGAATAATTTTGTCACAAGTAATACTATAATTTACCAGCAACATAAAAATTTTAAAGAAGAATAAATTTAATATATATTATATAAATTAGTATCAATATCAATTCGTCGCATAAGAATTTGGTAGACGATTTTACATGCAATTAGTTTCTGCGTTTAATAAACCGAAGTAGAAATTATACGAAACGCATGTAAAACACAACGTAGCTAATGCGGTAAAGTAATTTCATTTCTATTAAAATACTATCGCAATTGCCTGAATACAATGTTATTTCTTGGGGGAAAAAAAACATTACACATATATTACGCAAAATAAAATGTATACGCACATGGCTTACCTATTTGAGCGATTCTTAATCGTCCAACGTTATAATTTCGACATTATCAGCAAGGAGTTTATCCTGTGTCTTCTTGTTCGGAACATTAGCGGCTTTTCCCCTGGATATATCGTACATACATGGACATACAATCAGCGGTGGCCGACGGCCTCAAGGTCTCTGAGACCTTCGGCGGCACTACACTCACAGAAGATGACAGAGGCTAAATTCTAATCAAACTTCGATTAGCTAGCGATCTCATTGAGCAACTAAGATAACTCGGTTAAACTTGGCAACTAAGTTAAAACGGATATAACATTTTTCTATTGTCGTGGAGAAGACTAAAAATTAAGGGAAGAAAGATTATATTGTATTATTATATTATACCGAGTGTCGAAAATATTTTCCAGAGTTAGAAATTTTGCTGCGAGCAATTTTGTCAATCAAATTGATCATCGATCAAATAAATCTTTCGAGTTCGCCGATCAGATAAATCTTCAGTCGAAGTCGTCTCACGTGAGGCTACTCTGGCCACTCAAAGCAATGCGTATACCAACGATAACCCTTTACCTGAAAAAACAAAAATGTGTTTCATATCAATGCAACTTTATCGCGTCAATTAAATAAATAGCCGTCGCCGTGTTCTTCGCCGGCACAGTGCTATCGGCGGTTATACGAAGCAATTGGCTCAATTACCCGTCTCCACGCGAGTTTAATCTATTCGCTTCAACTCGTTTCTCTCGAGGCACTCGTGTTGTTCGTCCGCAACGACTCGTCGCTTCCTCGCCAACAATTTCGACTACAACCGGCTTGAAACGGACATTTCCCGACAATGTCGACGTAAATATCGATGTTGCACAATTTATTTTGGTTTTGATAAGTCCGT